TACGTCGTACCTGAAGCTGAGCGTCGCGCGCTTGGTTACGGTTGTTTAATGACTGGAGTAGGGGGTGATAGGCGGTACCTCGCGAAAATCGGCCGAAATGAGCAGTTCGTGAACAGCTCTGATTTAGAATAGCATCAAAGTGTGAATGTAGCAAATGTTGAAGAATAGAATAAATAATTTAAATCGTGTACGCACATGCGTGTGTGTATGTATATGCAAAAGAAATAAATGTTTCATATTGCGATTCAAGTCTTGACTTAAAAAGATTAAACTCGTATACATAAAAATCTAAAAGGTAAAAAGATCTCATTTTTCTGAAAGTAGAATATCGAAAAATTACGTGATAAAAACAATCTTGTAAGACTATAGGTATTAACAAGCTTTTCTTTTTTATCTCAAATCCCGGACCGCTTTCGATTGTATGATATATTCTGATTCTAGAAATTATTAGTGTGTAATCCGGCTCTACGGCTGTCGGCGGAGGAAGCGATGGCACATGCGTACTTCAACGACTTGAACCCTGCCATAAAGAACGACCGATGCCAATAGCGAGTCATCCCTCTTAGCTTTAACCGACCGAAAGCATATTACAGCGCGTACGATGCGCAGCGACCAAAAAGTGGAAAGGAAAACGCTCTGGCAATGATCGTTTGTTAAAATTATATATATATATAAATATATATATATATATTACGCGCTCGGACGAGGTAATCGCCCCCCGCGACGAGAAGAAGACACCGACGAGTCCTGTCATTTCATAATGACAAGGAAGAATCGATAAACCATTAATTACGCTCTCTGGCGGCAACTTCTTCGTATCGAAAGTAAAAAAAATGTATGGTCGATAGAAAGACGCGGCATTTCATACGCTGTTGAAGTCGCGATTGATGAGCATGAGGATTTTACGCGAGTTTGAATAGGATATTAAGCGCGATTTATTTATTATTAAATTATTATATCAATATACCGATATCTTAAATAAGCTTTAATTATTATCTTATCCCTTCGTTGCCCCCTTATTATATTCACTTTTCTACATCGCATCAAAGTGAAATCTGTGCGCTTCCTGGAGCTTCTCGATTTTGTCCTCTCTCCTCTCCTTCCAATACAAACCGATAATCAGAGATGTGATCAAAGCGCAGGTGCCGGATAAGGCGGCCGCGCTCAGTAAGATTAACTTGCTAGGCGTGACAAATAGCTGAGCCTTCCACTTCAATGGTTCAGCAATCGGGTTCGGTATCACGACCATCTGGGAATTAGGAATAATCTGCGGCCATTCTCGTGACTTGCCGCCAACCTGAAAAAAGTGGTATATATTTTTTCAATTACTCTATGATTTAATCGCGAAAAAATTTCATTCAAGTGAAGTTACACCAATCCGAAACAGTAATTGATCGTATGTGTGTATCATCCTAAGTTATAAGTTTACTTGTACGACAAAAACAAGGTCTTTCTAATCTCACCGTCAATTAAAAAATTCACATTGGTGTAATTAACAACTAGTCTTAAGAATTAAACTTCGCTTCTACAGTGTTTTTACACGTACCCCTATCTTGAGAGCGTCCACAAAATTGGGCGTTCTTCCCAAGCCGAAGGTGGTGTACGGTAAGTTAAGCGAGAAATGTGCACTCTGAGGCAATTGTGCAGCGATCGCGTTGCGAGGACTACCGTCTTGCGTGGTGGTTCTGTACGCAATCGACGGTCCAGGCAGATTAGTGCCGTAGGTTCTCTTCTTCTTGCCGAGAGAACCGGGCGAGATGGGATACATGCTGTTGGTGCGACCAGTGAGTACCATCACCTTGACAAAATTCGCATCGTAATCCAAACTGTTCTTGAACGCCGCTGTGCGATAGACGCTGTTCGTCTTATCAAACTCGACCAGAATCACGTCCAGGATACCGTCCTGATAAAAGTCGTAAAATACTGCCATCGCTGTTTCATTGTAGAACGGATTCAACGCCTGCCACTTAATGTCGAAGGTGCGATTGAAGCCAGCGCAGTTATCGCACGCCACGTTCTGCAATAAAAATGATTGCGCTTGTTTCGCGGACTGGAGGGTCGCTAGTAAATCCGGATAGCCATCCATGTTGAAGTCGCCGCCGCGCAGAGTGATGGTCTCCGTGTAACGATGACCATTGGGCTTCACGAAGCCCCACAGGACATTGTTGGGGTCACGGAAGTTTACGCGCAGATTGTGCCAGCCATTCAAGTACATCATTATTGTACAATTCGTACAATCCTTATCGAAGCACAGTGGTAGAAGCAGAGCCATCTTACCGGTCAGCTCGACATCCAGATAGAGAGTCTGTCCGAATTCTCCATTAAAATTCTTGTCGACCGATATGTTATAAGGGAGGTCGATTTCATGGGAAAACACGAATCCTTGTTCTTTGCCCAACCATATCTCGAAGGACTTCCTCGTGGTTACCACGAGATCCGACAGAAAGTCGCTGTTCAGATCCAAGAAAGCGTTGGAGTGCGGGTTTCTCACGGGCTCCAGCTGGTCACTGTTCTTGCATATCTCGGCGGGTTGCGGAGCAGTTCTATTCTCATTAAATATCCAGAACATTCGTTTGCCGTGCTTGTCCACCCCGAAGAGATCGATTATCATATCTTGATTGTAGTCCACCGCCAATGGCTGGTCGCGCATCTCTATGAGGGGATTCCACTCGTCGCTGCAGTTCAGATGGCCGTTCCCACCCCACAGTATGTGCACGTAAGTGAGCTTCTGTTCGCGGTTGAACGTCGTCACCAGGATATCCATGAAGACGTCACCATCGAAGTCGCCTGGTACCACACTGGTCACGTGGTCCTTGAACGGGCAACTCAGATCCGGCTTAGGTCGTAGCAGAGGCTCCTGCTCAGCCGCCAGGAATATCTCCACCGTCTGACTCTCGCGCAACATGAACACGTCCGTTAACTCGTCGGAATTGAAATCGCCGAACGCCGCCGGCATGCCGTTCAGCACGTTCCCGAATACGGCGGGCGTTATGTCGCTGCATGTCGCCGCCGAGACGAGCGCGACAAGGTGAACGATCGTCCGAATCCGCAGCATAATTCACATCCCAATGAATGATCTGCAACGATTGTGTACCTTAAGAATACTGAGTGAATGAAAGAAAACTGAACAAATGTTAGGGTCGAGCAGAAAGATTGTCGTAACTGTTCACGATTCCGTTGTAAGGCTTGAGTCAACGCACAAAGAATCGTTGTAGACGTATGTCGCCTCCATTGCATCGCGAGGCGACACACGACAACACTTTGATTTCCAACACTGAAGTCTATCACACAATGCCAGGCAACAGGCAACAGGAACAGGGAATAGAATTTCTGACGCGTTGAATTGGTTGGAAGAAAATTTCCGACGAATCCAACGCGTCAAAAATTCTATTCTCTATTCCTACTGCCTGGCATTGTGTGATAGGCTTGACTCAGGTCTTACGACGGAATCATACGGTTACGACAATCTATCTGCTCCGGCCCTTCGACGCGGCATTGAGGCATTTCGTGTAACAATGGCGCAATCTGATATGCTTGATTAGCCGAATAGAAAAATAACGTTCGCGTTCGTAAATGTAATATGCATATGCCGCTTAGACGTCTTTTCAGACAATGTTTTATGTTTCAAGTCTTTGTCTTGAAGTGACACACAATAGCTATCTTGTGCCTCAAGACCACGAGGGTGCAAGCCATACGGTTCAGGCCCTACAAAACAACTTAAAGACATCGAAAGATATCTCTTAGAGTTGAGTGATGTCTAGAAATCTATAAGTAGAACAGGTACTCAAAATATCTTTACATACTCAATATACGATCGGTGTCTTCATTTTGGAGTCTATCGCTTTTTGTATTGCGACAGTAAATCTAGTTTCGTCTTCGAAAAAAATTTTTAATGATATCAAATTAACGACGGCAGAGATGTCAGAAGCGTTATTAATTCGATTATAACAAAACAGTGCTGTGAAAAATGACCGATTACCCCTATCGGATAGCACGGCGCTCCTATTGTCAGTCCTCCGGAAAATCGGATTTGCTTTTACAAAATCAGCAAAATAATACAGTTGCTTTACAATGATCCTTTCAAGCGTATAATCAAGGTGAATTTCAAAAGATAATAAAATTTTGCCTACAGCTTTGCAGTTTCGATGAAGTAATAACGTCAAAGCGAGTGATATTCTCACTTATCTATGCGCCTAACCTAAAACACAATAATGGGAACCGCACGAATGGATGCAGGTGACGAAATAAAACGACAGCGTCCTGCGCTGTTTGTTCACGAATTACACACGATGACCGAGAAATGTGACGGGTTTGGCAAATAAATGTACCTGAGAAACGTAATATGCTGCTGTGCAACGCATTAGCTCACCATATCCGACACATTTGACTGTATCTGACAATTCTGACAGCCGTGACACGTATACGTATGTATGTAGAGACTACAGGCAACTACAGGTTGCTCCCGCAACTACACATCAGTAAGTCGGGTTGCCTATCGGCAGGGGCGTGCGCTACTGAACTGAACTCGCAGAATAAAGTAAAAGCACTGGGCCTAAATTCCGTACACGATTACC